GAGGGTAGAAGGAGGGGAGGGTAAGAGTGTTAATCATTATTTCATGAGGCTCGTATTCACAAAGCAATTTTTTACAGATGGTTGGAGGTATTTCTCAGCCCTTAACTGACAGGAATACAGGAGGCTCAGAGGCCTCAAGCAGCAATTCTGTTCATAGGCCCTTAGCCTTTCTATAATTGTATTAAGTACAGTAACAGACGTAAATTAACATGCACTGACCCCCATGCTCCTAGCAATGTATGCCTTGACCTTTTAAAAAACCTCAAGAGTAGTACTGGTTTAATATTTGATACGTCCTCTTTTGGGGGAGATTAAATGCTGGTCCAGGAGGTGTGTGTACTCGAGGCTCTAACAGGCCTTTTCCATCTTTGGCTACGAGGATCTGCTTTTCCTTCCTATCTTGAAATAAGCAGAGTTTCTCTAGTTTGGTGGTGAAGTAGCTGGTACCAGCAAAGCCCTGCTAAGCTTTATGAGTCCTAAAGGAAGTGTTTGACTCAAGCCAAGGTGGCAAGCGAGCCCCTAACCTCTGAAAGTCACCTGCCCGGGATGGCAAGCTTTCTGAAGGAAGACATTTGTGGTGCTTCACAGCAAATCCTACGTAGCAGCTCCTCAGCAGGTAACAGCCGTCGAGAAATTAGATGCCAAAACCAAAAGGACAGAAAGAGACTTCCTGCAAAAAAGTCTTCCTATGCATTTTGTTCACTCGTGACACTATTAAATTTAAAATTCGAGATGCAGTAAACGTGAAGAGACTTTGCCGCAGTTACTCATCTATAAACTTTTAATTTTTAGGACTGGAATGTATTTCCTCCTCCTCCCAAACAGCCAGGTCTGGAAACAGAGCAGGGGACGACGACTGAACGTGACTGAAAACAACAGTATGTCTCCTTCTTTTACTGGGGAGGGGGGGGTCCTTTTTCTTTTAAATCGCGTCCTATTAATTCATTCGCCTCCCAGTTTTCTACCCCACCATCACACTGGTAGGCAGAAAAATTGTACTAAGTGCCTGAAGGATCGTGGATTTGGAAAAAAAAAAAAGAAAAAACCCTACGAGAAAAAACTACGAGAGAACTGCAAATGTCCGACGATGCATTTAACTACGAAGTGGACGAGAGCGTGAGCTAGTGAATAAAGAAGGAAAAAGACGAGGTGAAGGAGGGAAAAAGACGAGGTGAAGGAGGGAAAAAGACGAGGTGAAGGAGGGAAAAAGACGAGGTGAAGGAGGGAAAAAGACGAGGTGAAGGAGGGAAAAAGACGAAGGAGGAAAAACACGAGGTGAAGGAGGGAAAACACGAAGGAGGAAAACCACGAGGTGAAGGAGGAGATTCCAGACGAAGCCCACTAACTTTTTCCCTTCCCCACCTTATCACACCGAGGGGTTTTGCCCGGGAACCGACGCCAACGGCCCTTTTACACGCCACTTTCCATCCACTCCTCACGGGTTTCGCTACACCTCCTTCCACGCCCCGACCTTCTCCCCCTGCCCAACCGGGGGCTTTTCCCCTGTGGGGCCGAGGGGTGGCTGCCTCTACCCGGGGAAAAGGGGGTTGAAAAAAGGGGCAGGTGCTGCCCTGGGGCCTACCTGGGGCTGTGGGCCCCGGGGTGGCCTCGGCCTAGTGCGGCCTTAGGCCGGGCCTGGCTGTAACCACCGCCGGGGTGGAAGGGGTTGGGCGGCAGCCGGGGGGCTGCCCTCAGCCTGAGGGAGCCCCGGGGGTTGTGTGTGGGGAGGGGAAGCCCGTCGCAGTCGCTCTCACCTGCCGGCGGCCCTGGCTGCTCCCGCGTCGCCTCCGGCCTCGACGGCGCGGCCCTCACCTGAAGGGGGTGTTGGGGAGGGGGGAAAGGCAAGAGGGGAGAGGAGGGTTAAAGCGGGGCTCTCTCTCTTTTTGTCGCCGGCTCCTCCCTCGGCGCCCGGAGGGCAGCGGTAGACCTGGTCTCCCACCCCGGGGCGGAGGAGGTTGGGGGGGGGGGGG